AAAAGTATGTGAACCTTTGGACTTAATAACTGGTTGACCCTCCTTTGGCAGCAATAACCTCAACCAAACGTTTCCTGTAGTTGCAGATCAGACCTGCACAATGATCTGGAGTCATTTTGGACCACTCCTCTTCACAAAACTGTTTCAGTGTAGCAATATTCTTGGGATGTCTGGTGTGAATCACTCTCTTAAGGTCATGCCACAGCATTTCAATCGGGTTGAGGTCAGGACTCTGACTGGGCCACTCCAGAAGGCGTATTCTGTGCTGTTGCAGCCATTGTTTTGTTGAATGACTTGTATGCTTTGGGTCATTGTCCTGTTGCATCACCCATCCTCTGCGGAGCTTCAGTTGGCGGACAGATGGTTGTACGTTTTCCTGCAAAATGTCTTGATAAACTCTGGAATTCATTTTCCCATGAATGACAACAATCTGTCCAGGCCTTGAGGCAGCAAAGCAGCCCCAAACCATGATGCTCCCTCCGCCATGTTTTACAGTGGGGATGAGGTTTTGATGTTGGTGTGCTGTGCCTTTTTTTCTCCACACATAGTATTGTGTGTTCTTCCCAAACAACTCAATCTTGGTTTCATCTGTCCACAGTATATTTTGCCAGTAGTGCTGTGGAACATCCAGGTGCTCTTTGCAAACTTCAAACGTGCTGCAATATTCTTTTTGGACAGCAATGGCTTCCTCCGTGGTGTCCTCCCATGTACTCCATTCTTGTTTAATGTTTTCCTTATTGTAGATGTGTCAACAAAAATGTTAGCATGTGCCAGAGATTTCTGTAGGTCTTTAGCTGACACTCTGGGATTCTTCTTCACCTCATGCAGCATTCTGCGCTGCGCTCTTGCAGTCATTTTTACAGGACGACCCTGCCTAGGGAGAGTAGCAACAGTGCTAAACTTTCTCCATTTGTAGACAGTCTGTCTTACCGTGGACACATGAACATCAAGGCTTTTGGAGATACTTTTGTAACCCTTTCCAGCTTCATGCAAGTCAACAATTCTTGATCGTAGGTCTTCTGAGAGCTCTTTTCTGCAAGGCATGGTTCACATCAGACAGTGCTTCTTGAAACCAGTAAACCCAAAAACAGGTGTGTGTTTTTTAAGGGCAGGACAGCTGTCAGCAACACATCCAATATCATCAAACTGATTGCAGTCAAGGTTGGCTCACTCCTGGCTCCAATTAGCTCTGGGAGAAGTCATTAAGCTAGGGCTTCACATACTTTTTCCTCCCTGCACTGTGAATGTTTACATGTTATGTGCAATTAAACCATGGCAACATCTAATTTTTGTGTAGTATTATGTTCAGCAGACTGTGTTCTTCTATTGTTGTGACTTAGATGACGTTCAGAGCACATTTTATGCCCAATTCATGCAAAACTCCACGTAATCCCAAGGGGTTCACATACTTTTTCTTGCAACTGTACATTGTACACTCACTGGCCACTTTATTAGGTACACAAAAAAACAATATTGCTTATCAGTCAATCACATGGCAGCAACGCAATGCATTTAGACATGTAGACATGTTGAAGAAGACTAGCTGAAGTTCAAACCAAGCATCAGAATGGGGAAGAAAGGGGATTTAAGTGACTTTGAACGTGGCATGGTTGTTGGTGCCAGATGGGATGGTATTTCACAAACTGCTGATTTACTGGGATTTTCATGCACAACAACCCTTAGGGTCTACAGAGAAAGGTCCAAAAAAGAGAAAATATCAAGTGAGTGGCAATTGCATGGACTAAAATCCCTTGTTGATGTCAGAGGAGAATGGGCAGACTGGTTGCTGTGACATTCAGATGGTAGGGTCAGAATATGGTTAAAATACCATGAAAGCATGGATCCATCCTGCCTTGTATCAACGGTTCAGGCTGGTGGTGTTGGTGCAATGGTGTGTGGGATATTTTCTTGGCAACGGCAAGGTGTACCTAATAAAGTGGCCGGTGAGTGTATGTTAAGCTTATTTATTATCTATTCTCAAAGATTAGTAATGCAAATTATTATGTTGAGTAATATTTATACAATGTTTAGAATAAACTTCTTTACAGCTGGGTAGCATATGTAGAGCCCAGTTCTACTGTTTATTGAGTTGCCTTTCAGAAATATAATTTGCTAAAAATATGTATTAAAAGACATAAAACCACATTTTTGCAGCTGTTTTCATATTTTTATGTAACTCTACTGGTTTGTTCCATGGTGATAAAAATGTGTATTTTATTTTTTGTCTACTTTTACAGCCATTGTTGCATGCGTTGTTTCTTCTAATTTCCCACAGTATCATTGTTGGTATCTTTTCAGATACAGTGAGAAAAGGGAAATAATCTTCCTTTAGCATTTCATGTTCAATTTCATTCCCCCTTAGTGCTTTAAGAATTTTGATATCTGCCTGTTCTCACAAGCAGATTATGTACATTCACAAAACCTTAAAGGGAAACTACAGTATATTTGCAGTCAATATATATTGTCAGTTGTTACTTTTATTTGAAGAAATTTTTTCATGTGACATTCATATTTAAATGCTTGTTGTTCCCTATTTTGTGATATTACTCCACATATATTTGTAGCCTTTCCTTTTAGTAGGCATTTTTAATATCACACAATGGAGTCAGCATTTCTTTTTGATAAATGCTGAGATCAGTTACAGGATAAGTCACATAGTTTTTCGTCAGTCTGAGAACAATGATTTCACTAGGGAATCAAAAAAGGTAAGCTTACCATGTATAATTACAAACAAGTTTTTAAATCATTAACTTACATTGGTAAGATTATTTACATTAACCTAATCACATTCACATTTGTACCGAAAAACATTATTAACACTATAGATTCCCTTTAAAGTAGCATTTTGCTCTCATCTCTTTATTTCGGCAGTGCAAGAATGGTTAACTGTGCCTCTCCAATAATCAATAGCTCTCTAATTTATTTTTTTCAAGTGAGATAATGATGTTATTTTTTTGGAAGTCAGCAATATTACAAGCTTGCAATAACTCCATGGCATGGGACTTGACATGGTTCTCGGTGACTTGGCATCTTCCCAAGTTCTACAATCACCCACTCTTCCTGACAGTCCCTTTCTGAAAGGCTGAGAACATCTCATGGTAAATAATACTCTTTATTTCTTTATTTTCATATATGCCTCACTGCTGCTTCTTTTACACATGTGATTAGGAATACATACAGTATGCAACTCTATGAGTTGGTCTAATATTTTCTCATGCAGAGGGGCAAGACCTTCTTTACCACACGAATAAAGCAGGCCTTTATTTATGTATGATTTTCCAGGGTACATACAAATGGTGAGGCCCTTTTATACAAGTTTCTCAAATATTGTCACCAAACATGTTTGGTGAGTATTACATGTTTGGTGACAAAACAGTGAAATAAGAATGTACTATGGGATGTAGCATAATCTCTGCTTTATGTTGAGCTATTTGAATGCCACTGACCACCAATTAAGAACATGAATTAAAAGAAGGTGATGGGAACATAGATGAATCCAGAGCTGCTCAGATAAATGCCTGCTAATGGACCTGCTTCACAAGTGACTTTGATATATATGACAAATATATGATATATATTTTTCTTTTTCTTTATACAAGTGAAAAGTCATTTTACCATGGAAGTACCAGCCATAAACACTGTAAACACTGCATGTATCTGGTGGTGGTGCTCAATGAAAATATTTGGGAGAGATATTTGCCCTAAGATCTAGTTACTGCAGGAGGTAATGCTGATTAACACACTATAATATATAATACCATGTGGTATATCGATTGTCTGCTGTAACAGGTGTTATTTCCTATAGAGCTATGGTAGAAGAATGGTGTCAGCAGTGGGCTTAATGCAACAGTTCAGCATTGTGTTGCTAACAGGATTTTATATTCCATACTGAGGGAAGTGTTGTAAAACATCAAATAATGGAAGGGTTTTTGTACATTCAGTCACTAATAGTAAATTACACTTTCGAGCTATAGACAGCTGCAATGATTCTCTATAAAAAAAAAATCCTTGTTTAGTTCTAGGGTCTATAGGCTGCTACAGTAATTGGCACACAGGGGAGATAGATATGTTAACCACTATTATCCTTCACAAAAGTAATTAATACTTGATAGTATATTTCACTGTCACCTGTGGATGATATAGCTATTTTTAAGACAATGTAAGTAGCACTGCACCTTTAAGCACCCATTAATTAACCATAAAAACTCTGACATCACAAGGGCAAATTAATCAGAATACATTGTTGGTCTGAGTTACTTTCAAAAACACATTTTGCATATTTAAGAAAAAAATACACAGTTTGTTCTTATAAATAAAAGTGTTCATTTAAATCATCCTCTTGCCAGATAATAAAAAATGGATTCTATAATTTTCAGTTCTTCAATGTTGATACAACCATTTCCCCTGGCGGATAGTTTACTTTAGGAGCAACACATTCGGAAATAGGCGCATAGTAAGACATTTTGGACTTTGGTAGCCAGTACCATAAGTTCATGAAGTCCCTTGTCAATGTAATTTTAAAAAATAAAGATACAATCATAATTATCTTTTAATTTTAAAAATTCTAAAGATGAACAAAAGTAGTGTTTATATATTTAAGTCTTTTTTTTATAAATTATAAAACTCGTGTCTCTTCCCAAAGGGAAGCATAATGCACTTTTGTGGTACCTTTGCCAGCAAATATTTGGGTCACATTAACAAATACAATAAGTCGTATTGCATTTAACTCCCCATTAAGAACTATCTTCTGTAATAATAAAAAAGAAACCTTTATGGTCTTGATCAATGTGCTCCTTAAGACCATATTACTCATAGCTCTTATCCAAAACACACACATGGGAAACAGTGAACTCATCTTCAGTAGGGATTTAAAAGACTGGTCATCAGTAGAGTTTATTTGCCTGTGATAACAGCGGGCATCCTTTGGAAGACATGGAGGAGTTTTGAAACCATCTTGTCCTATTTTGAGGTAAACTCCACCCAGCATCAGAGTTGGCATGTCAGGAGTGAGTTCGGTTATAGCCAAAACCTAAATGTTTCTCTAACCATATTTCTGCTAACTGAGCAGCAGATGCAAATGTACTTGCTTTAGAACCCAAGCACATTTTATATTGTTTAGGGTTTAAATTAGGGTCACATTGGACAGGATGAAACACATGAACTACCCCTGTTTCTTGACTACGAAAGGCCTTCAGCCCTGAAGACAAAACTTTAGTAAAGAGATCCACATCTTCTAATCCCCAACCTTGAATAGAGGTATCAAACCCGCCAACTTGTAGCAGATCACTTTTATAAATACAAGTAATTCCAAAACCGTAGTCCCTCCAAAAGCCGGTTTTCTTTGTAAAAACAAAGTTGCTGTCTGTGGGAGGATTTCCTCCGTAAACTACTTTTGGATCATATTGACTGAATACAATAGGGTAATATACTTGCTGTCCTTGCACAGTGTTGTCTCGACATCGCTGTAGAAAATCTGATGTAAAGATTAAATCTACATCACAAAACAGCAGCAGTGTGTCATTGTCAAACTGAGCAGAGCCCTTTTCAAGGCTCAACCCCCTGGAAAAGGATCCTGACATTTTCATGATTGACATTTCTGCTTGTGGGTATTTAGTTTGGTATTCAGCCATGAGTTCCATGTGCTTATTGGAGTCCGAGTCTTTTTCAGAGCTAAATAAAATAATCAGCAGCTTCACATTCTGCTTTGGAATCAGGCAGACTTTCTCATAGTTTTCCATAAACCTTGTAAAGATATCGTACCTTCCGGTGAGAGGGACAAGGAAGTGTATTTTTTTGTTGATGTTTTCTTTCATTTCTTTAGTCACGTGAAGGGCAGAAAACATTTTCAAAGAACTGGAAAAAAATGAAAAGGACTGAGTATCACTATTGATGCTCTGGAGAAAACTCTGCACATCCAACTCTTCTTCCTCTTTGAAAAATGGCTTGCTAAATGATTGTTGTAGGTATGCGTGCCTCCTTACCGGAACAGTTAGCTTTCTTCCTTTATGCCTTTTATATAACAGCAACAAATCTAATATATATTCCACTCCATACATAGGATGGATCCTCCGGTACCCATACTGGATTTCTTTGAAATCGATTAACCTTCCTCTTGATTTGGAATTCTCATTGATCATTTCCATCACTTGCATCACTGTGTCATCCAAAGACACCTTGAGAAGGTTATTTAGACTCTGGCATGGTGGAGCATTTGCAGACATTGAATAAATATGTTTTCCTGTGAGAAACTCCCATTCAATTACTTCGCTCCTTTCTCGTGGCTGAAATCTATTGAAAGATGGCATCATACCAAGCTGCTGGTCTAGTTTGCTTATCTCTGTGTTACTGAGCTTGCTCATCACAACACTTTCCCTGTGTAGCTGGATGGTGTGAAAGCGCAGTTCAGAAATCTTCCGGCTTAGTATATAATTATGCAGTCGGTACTGGTAGGCTGGTCTTTTATTAGGGTGCAATGTTATAGCTGTATGAATTTTGCTGTTGTGCAAATCTTGAATATATCCTTTTCTGTTGTGTTCATAATTTTCATGGAATAGTTGCTGCATCTGGATAGAAAACAAACAGAATCTATTAGGATGATGTATGAAAATAAATTTGCATGTCATATTATGTTCAAAATAAAAATAAAGGAGCAGCAAATAAATAAAAGGTTGTCAAGTATAGTTAGGATTCTACATTCAGAACTTTTTCAATTAGTATGAAGACAAACTACTTTATTTAAGGTGACACTATCAGCAGATTTAGGATTTAAAGCGACTCTGAAGGTTCATTTTTTTTTCTGTAAAATAACAAACATGTCTATACCTACCTGCTGTGTGCAGTGGTTTTGCACAAAGTAGCCTGGATCCTCCTCAAGAAGGGTCCCCCACAGGCTCTCCTGGCACCTCCTGTCTGTCTGGTGCCCCCACAGCAAGCAGGTTGCTATGGGGGCACCTGCTGCTCTGTGTCCATTAACACACAGAGCCATAGCTTGGCCCCCACCCCTTCTCCTCATTGGCTGACTGGCTGTGATTGACAGCAGCGGGAGCCAATGGCTCTCGCTTGCTGTCTCAGCCAATGGGGAGGCAGAAACCTGGAACAGCCGGGCTGTCATTCACACTGCTGGATTGTGAAGGGGCTCAGATAAGTATTGAGGGGGCTGGATGTAATGCTGCACACAGCTTTTTTTACCTTCATGCATAGAATGCATGAAGATAAAAAACCTTCAGCCTTTACAGCCACTTTAAGTTGTTACCTAAAACCAAGCACACAAAGGTACATACATATTACTTTTTAAATTATTCTCTTGCATTTTATGGACATCTGTGTTGTGTAGTCTTTAAAACTGCCAGCTTTTGTTCTAAATAACCACTCTGCCATAATCCACAGTGCATTCATACCATGTAAGATTGTCTATGCAAGAAAAGATTAGAAACAGGGAGCAACTATTCAATGCTGCCAAAAACATGCAGTGTGGTTTTAAGATCTTCACTGATCAAGCCAGCAAGTAAAATAAATAAATAATAGTATCCTAAAAATGTGATTGGTTGCCATGGGCTCCATTTTCCATAAAGAAGTCCCCTGGGTGCACATGCAATAATTCCATAGCACCATCAAGTACCATTGTATATTGAAATTCTCCTTTTGCTGACCACATAGTAAGTATGGCTTTGAAGTATGTAAACTGCCTTGTATTGGTTAGAATAGAGAATGAAAAATGTTTGTAGGCCTATACACCCCCTATTTAGGAAGGCCATTGAGATGAAAGCATATATTATTAGCACTTTTTCAGTTTTTACAAACCTAACATAAAAAACTTTTAATAATAAAAAAAATGTGGCCTTTTTTATAACTATTTTATTTATCAACTAATCAACTGATGTAATACCTACAAACCCCCTTGCCATGTATGGATTAACTTTTGCTATTAGGGCCCTTTAATTGAAAGTTTTGCAAATAAACTCTTGCTGCTAACACTCTTTATTCCCCCAAATTACAAGAGTTAAATTATTATTTAGTCTATAGCAGGGATGTTGAACTGGTGGCCCTCTAGCTGTTGCCAAACTACAAGTTCCATAAGGCATTGCAAAGCTGACTCCCAAAGATAGAGGCATGATGGGACTTGTAGTTTCGCAACAGCTGGAGGGCCGCCAGTTTGACACTCCAGGTCTACAGGAATAAGAAAAAGGTCAAATACTTACCTTATTTCTCCCACCTGCAGTTGTAAATCTGGTCCCCTGTAGCTGCTTCACTTGTCAGGCTAATGAGGACCTGCCTACATCCTGGGAGCATTGGAGAGCAAAAGTTGAGAGTGGAGGGAGGATAGGTATTTCACCTTATTCATTAGCCACTAGACAAAATGAGCAATTAACACTTGCTCTGCGGGGAAGGGCCTACTGCAAGATTCATTTTCCCATATATATCGTAGCTCAGCTTTAAAATATATATAATACTCCAAAAGAACTGTTTTAACCCCTTCACGCCTAAGGGTAAAACAAATCTTAAAGCCTAAGCATAATCTTGCAACTTTGACATGTGTTAGTAAAACCGTACATATCATCACAACTACTTTGTACATCCAAGTGGATTATACCTTGTTTCTTCAGGACAAATTGGGCTTTCATTTGGTGGTAAATGGTAATGGATATTTCCTGATTTTTTTTATTATCAAAGGAAAACTGGCGCAAAATAGTGAAAAAAAAATCATTTTTTAAATTTAGCTGTGTGTTTCTTGTTACTACCATAACCTACCACCAAACAACAACCTAAAATAAATTTTCCAGCTCTTGATGATCACAGCGATACCATATATGTGTATGTTATTTGTTGTTTGTAACCACAGTGCAGCCCAGAAACAATAGTGCACTTTTTTTTTTTTTTTAACTAAAACACACTGACACTAACTGACACTGATACCAATTAAAAAAAAAAATCCTGACCTTTGACCTTGACCCAAACACTAACCTTGATCAAACCTTCATCTAGGTATTTTTTCATAATTTTTAATTTTTTAATATTTATTTATATATTTATCTTTTTTTTTAACAAACAGTTTTTTTCCCCCCTCTATGCAAGGAGAGCGAGAGACACAATGTATCTCTCTCCTCCATTCACAGAGAAAAAAAAACAAGGGGGGCGGGCTGTACAGTGACTGATCACTTTGACAGCAAATCAGAGGCTACCACAGTGATCATGTGACCCGGAATCAGGAGTCCCAGGTCCCGATTGTTAGAATGGGACTCGGGGCTCTCAGTGACACCCTGGTCTTTGTGCTGGGAGCACGCTTTGTGGCACGCTCCCAGCACAAAGACAGGTACGCAAATATCAGGTAGGAAGTAAAAAGCAACCGAATGCCTGAGTTCCTGCGCTGGACAATTGACTCCACAGTGTCAATATCCCCACATGTATATGAAAAGAATGCAAGCCTTGCTGCCCTCAACTGACCAGGGAAATCCAAAGAGAACTGTATATAAAGAGACAAAAAGAGGGTGCACAGGCCTAATGCATTACCTTTAAAGATTAGATTTATTGATAAAAAGTAAAATTCTCACAAGAGAAATAAAACTAAATGCCAGGCTCTGAGGAAGAGGTACAACCTCGAAACACGTCAGCCACCAGCTATCCAAAGGTCTACGGTCCCCCACCTGACTACCTTCAGGGGTTTTTGGACCACATTGCATTCCTTGTGACATGCTTTCCATTTGATTTTATTTCTCTTGTGAGTATTTTACTTTTTATCAATAAATCTCATCTTTAACCATTAGCCGCCCGGCCAATGGCCGTTTGGCGGCTTCAGATGTGCCTCTTCATTCCGGGTGCACGCCATTTGGCGTGCTCCCGCACATGCACCGTTTGCGGTAATGCAGAGCGGCGCAGCAGCGGGATCTGTCACGGGCCATGCACCTCGGACACGGCCGATGACAGATCCGAGTACCGGCTCCCGTTGCTGGTACCATGTGACCTGCTGTGACCAATCACAGCAGGTCACATGACAGTTGTATACAATGGATGGCTTCAATCATGATGCCATCCATTGTATACTAGTGCCTAGCTGTGAATGGTCACAGCTAATCACATGCACATGTCATGTGATTAGCTGTGACCAAATCACAGCTAAGCACAAAAAAAAAAAAAAAAAAAGCTGAATGAATCGATTTCATTCAGGTAAATGCTTGCTTATAGCAAAGTAATTCTTTGCTATAAGCAAATTGTGTAAAAAAAAAAAAAAAAAAAAAAACTGATCACTTCTTCAAAGTAGTACAATGTTACTATGGTAACATTGTACTACTTTGGTCATAGTAAAATATGAAAATAAAATCTTAAAAAAAAATGTAATAAAAAATTAAATATAATAACAAAATAAAAAAAAAAAAAAAAATATATATATATTTTTTTTTTTCATACTGTCACCAGTCAGTGTCCCTGTTAACCGCCATGCCAGTTATATGATGACGCTGTACTGCACTGGTGACAGTATGTAAAAAACAAAATAGTGAAAATTATTTTTTTTAATTTTTTCATTTTCTGAAAAATTATGACATAAAAATACAACTTCAAAAAACTCGCCATGCCACTTATGAAGTACGTCGGACTGTCTACTCTGCAAAAAGGGGTCATTTGAGGGATATCTGTACTATTCTGACATTCTTGGACCTCAAGAAATTAGATTGGCTGTCAGTACTTCAGGATTGATCAATATTCAGATCTATACCATAGTTTGTGAACTCTATAACTTTCCTACAAACTAAAAAATACATCCTAATTTGGGTTATTTTCACCAAAGACATGTAGCAGAATACACCTCGGCCTAAATTTATGAAGAACAATTATTTATTTGTAAACTTTTATAACAGAAACAAAGAAAAATGTGTTTTTTTTTTTTCAAAATTTTTGGTCTTTTTTTGTTAGTATAGCAAAAAATAAAACCCCAGCGGTGATTAAATACCACCAAAAGAAAGCTCTAGTTGTGTGAAGAAAATGATAAAATTTTAGTTTGGGTACAGTGTTGTATGACCACGCAATTGTCATTCAAAGTAAGAAAGCTCTGAAACATGAAAAATGGCCTCGGCAGGAAGGTGTAAAATTGCACGGTATTGAAACAGTTAAAGGTAATGCAGAAGGCCCGTGCGCCCTCTTTTTGTCTCTTTTTATACGCAAATATCAGGCCCCATGGAAAAAACCCCGGTTATGTGAGGCCGCATATTTGTGTTACATCTGCGTGAATGGGTTCCAATTTAAAATACTGTATTTGGTGATTTCTAAAGGGAGATAAAGATAATTTAAGTAACTATGTGAACCCCAGTTACTGATTTAATGTGGGTAATACATACATACACCATCTAATTTTTCAAAGCTTCTTAAACATATTATGGCATTGTCCATACATGAATAATATTATAGTGCGCTCCTTAGTGCATGTTCTATATCCAACCCGCTGAATGTTCTATTCCCATTTGCACTGTTTATATTGTGGCAGGCATATATCCATTTACTGTGAGCTCTGAGCCAGAACATCCATTAAATCCTCTACAAGTCTGTGTTATCATAGAATAAAGGTTGCTAACTT